TGGTTAAAATTTATAGTCACTATGTATGCGATAGTATTAGAATAAGGATCTAGACACTTTGATATGAATTAAATTTGAAAGACATTTCTGCCGTAAAGCCTAATATGCGTACCTACTATTAGAAATTAATAAACCCTTGTAAAATATCCTATACCATAGGAGCAACAAGAAAGCAGATAACGACAGCTGTTAACTTAGTATTGGGGGTAATAAAACTGTATCACTGAAATTCGTTTCCACTATTAGAACGCGATAAACTTGTAATCTCCCCTATTTTAAGAAACGCTAATATAACAGTTCGCCTCTCGATCCTGAGAAGCCTTGAGTCGCTCAGTCTCAATCGAATACAGGTGCAAATCAGAGTCCTCTAGCGCACTATGCAGTAGTTTAAACTAAGGCAGCGCTGCATTATTGCCTTCTCAAACAATGATCGCATCAGATGAAGCCTGTAAGGCCGTTATGGCCATAGGCGTGTTTTACCCCACGGGTGTTTTAGTCAGTAAGAGTCCGACATAACCCATCAGCAGGGTATCCACGAGGATTTCACACCCACTCCCCAACCAATTGTCCGCTCGAATTGGTGTGCAAGTCTGGGAAGTATCCCTCGCCTTACTGAGGATCCTGGTGGTGTTGTGTTTCTGTCGGTGAGTAAGGTAAGCTGGCAAAATGAGGCATTTTTCTGGCACGTTAGCATTCTTCGCCACTGGACTTTACTTGGGTTGAGTATGGATATCAGGTGGGGTAAGGAAATTTGCGTCCTATGATATTTTGGTGAGGTATTGTTAGTCTGAAGGCCATTCTTCTACCTAGAATGCAGAAAAGTGTCCAAAGGAACTAGGCCAAGGTATCAGGTTGGAATTAAAGGTTGGTCGTTATCTATCCGGGCGAATATTCTTATCGATATCGACAGTTTGACAGAAGTGTCGAGTTTGTCCTAGTATATCTTAAGTTACAACGCAGCGCCATTTCTGCACATTAACGCCACAATTTGCTCATCAAATCTTGTCTGCTCTATGTATCTTATATATATTATATGTACAGTACATATTACTACACACTTAGCTCATCAAAGTCCAGCTTTCTAATTAGTTAAATGAAACGGTATCGTTGTAAGAGAAGTTGCCGGTAGTTTCTGCTCGCTGGGCCGAGCGAAGTAACCTAATTTCGAATCGCTCGCGCCAAGTGCCGCCGCCTGGCGGAATTGCCGGGAATTACGGGGGCCTTTGAGAATGCCATTTGGGCCTAAATTTTATTAGCTAACACCCCGGTGGGGGTAACGACCCAGCCTGGCAGGGGAGGCGGAAGCAAATAAGGTTTAATATGTACTTTCTATCCAATAGGATAGAAAGAAAAAAATATTGAATGTAATCAGAAACGCTATTGAAGGTTGAAAACAAATTATACCTACTTGGAACAGGAAAACTTCAACAACTTACAAAAGACTCGACTCGAGGACCCGCGCAAGAAGGGTTGTGTAACTGCCTTATCTTCTGAACAAGATTTATGTATTTAACCACTAGCGGCCGCCCGCTACTTTGTCCGCGTTAACTTTAGTGTTTTGAAAATCTCTCAGGAACCTAACACTTTGTCGGGATAAAAAGTATCGTTTGATTCTAAAGATGTGTATATATGTGTACCAAATTTCATCCAAATCCGTTTAACCGTTTTTGCGTGATTGAGTTCCAAAAATACAAACTTTAACATTTATAATTTTAGTAGGATTAGTATGTACTTTTTAATAAGTTCTTTCCTAGGTTCAAGTCGAGCTATTTGCCGAATTAATTAGATACGTTTCATGTAATCAAAAGATTTGCCCTAACTGTTACTGTGAATAATAATAATGATGTTATATTTATTGTGGCATCGTTAGAAATACGTACTCTGTAAAACACATCTGTTTTATTAAGTTTCCTTGGTGCTGACAAATAGATACGGCCGGGCGGATAGTACCTAAAGGCTTTATTAATATCTGCTATCATTCTTCGTGCATGAAATCCTAAAAGTACTGATTTCTAAGTGATACCTATATTGTATAAGACTATGTTATATCAATATGTAATCTGCAAGTCGTCCAATCAGCGTGGCAACTATCCGAGGGTTAATCTACTGTACAAACAGACATGCTGACACGATCACGTCGCACATAATATCACGCGAATTTTATGTTGTTTTGTCACAAAAAGTATAAATACTATGTCTGCAATAAGCATCTTTATTTAGGAACAATGTAACTAAAGATATTTAATTTTGCTTAACATTTAAGCATATTTACTTATCAAGAGCTTTTTTAAACAAGGCACAACATTTTTTCTCAAAAAACACCCTGTTGTTTGTTTGTTAAATATATTCGCAACTGGTCTACTATAATAGTAGACCAGTTGCGAATATATTTGGCAGAAAAGTGTACCTACATAGATACCTACATTATATCGTATCAATCCTACTTGTAATTAAATCCAATAAGCTTATGCAATAAACTTCCCAACTGATACTATCCACTGTTAACGCACAAAGCACAATTTTCGCTGCTAAATTATGAGCACTAGTTAAAAAACTGTTATTACGATATAATGAACGGTCACTGTAAACCCTAGTTTTGTATTACAATAAGAACAATAATGTTCGCTGATTTTCGCACATTAATTTTGTTGCTTAATTAACTTTGGAAAAATTTATCTGGTTCGATTACGTGAAAAATAGTTGATAACTATGGTGCAGAAATGTTTCATTAAAATTTGTTTTATGTAGAATTTTAATCAAGTAGGTAATAAAACAGTTATTTGAGATAAAATGTGAAGAAGCAGAGCTATAATGCAAAGCGTTTTGATTTTTTTAGAAAATACTATCTAAATTTAGGATTTTTGATGATTCCATTTTTGTCATAATATTCTCGATTAGAAGAAAAAACAATAAAGATGCTCCGCCGGCAACTGATTTTAATATAACGATTTTAATGCACATTTAAAAAAAACAGAAAATACCACAGCTTTATTAACGTTTACTATATCAGCAATTAAATAATACAAGAGCTTAAATATGAATCAGATAGCGTTGTTTATTAAGATGATAAAAGTGTTTTAATTAGAAAGATGAAAAATTGAATCACCTTCTTTTGTTTGTGAAATCATGAGACGACCCGTGCTTCCCTTTTTTGAAGTAATGCTATGATGAAAGGACCTTTTGAATGGATATAAATGAAGATGCCTATCTTCAGTCAGACGAAGGCTTTGAAACGATTTGTAAATTTTAAAACAAGCTTTAGTAACTTTCGCTTTTCAATATTGCGTCTTAAATATTTTGATATAAATTAGGTGTAATTTTTTTATATAATATTTTCGTTTCTTTGACCGGATAAAGGTTTTCATAGTTATACGGGGTAGCAATGGCTTACGATGATGCAGACTGAATAATTGCCATTCATTATACAATTAATATTAAGTAAAAATAACTAAGAATTAATGAAACGCAACCTTCCGTTATGACAATTAATAGAAACAAATATTATATCATATTTACTGTATGCAATATAATTTGTGTTAGTACTTATATTCTTTTTATAATGCTGCTTTATTTCGGTACCAAGCTTCATAATTATATTCACAGCTTCAGCTTCACATATTAAAATCAAAAATTCAGTTCAGCTTCTTCTTCTTCTGTTACTATGCAGTGACTATGAATGTATTCGTATTCCTATTTATTTCTATTCTGTCGAAAATCAAAACCACTAGAAATGATTGAACCAGACATATTGAGTAGAAGCATTATCCGACATCACACAAGCCTTCAATACCTACCTACGTGCAGTACCCAACAAGTCCTTAACCAAAACTGTCATATCTACAAGTTAAGTGGATAATAATATGACAGTCTACAATTGATTTTTATATTTATCCGTATACCGGATAGTCTGGAAGAGGAATGACAATCGGTCGAGCTTATTCGGTATAGTAATGATCAGATATAATGTCATCTGTACCCACTACGGGTCGAACAAAACAAGCAGTTAACACCGACCGATTCGCACCCATCACAGCCTCTAATGGTAGTGACACGGTCATACATAAAATTAGGTACGTCGCGCACCGCGCGGATGGAGCGCTCTCGAGCGGCCGCCGCCGGCGACAAATTGCCCGGCGTCGCTCGGCACGCTCGAGAACGCCTGTTGACCCACTTCGCTTGCGAATTAATTGTTGACGTGTTATGCTCAACACGTAATTTTATTGTGCTCACGTGTCAGTAAAGGCTGAGAATGTGTCGTTCACATATATACGTACTTTGATGTGGTTGCTTCACCTGGATTGGAAGGAAAAGGGTTAAAATAGGGTCATGAGCTGAGTGATTAACTGGACTTGTAGTAGTCATGCCTTAGCAGTTACTCTGAAAATAATGGCAAACAAGTATATAGCTCGCTTGATGGTAAGCAGCCTTCGCAGTTTGAATATCATTATGTTTTTTCAAAATAATTATAAATGTGTGCGTTCCTTTTATTCATTGATTTATACAGTTTATTTCCGAAAATAATATAATAGAATACAGTCATTAGCAAAGAATACGAGAAATATACAACTAGATTGCATAAGGCACCCACAGTCCATTAATGAAGTTGTTTTTGTGAATTTCCTTTCTCCAAACAATTACTTTATTTGATTATCCGCTCGTCTGTGTGATACATGTTTTTTATTTTAATGATCTTCGGTTACGAGGGGACTTTCAAGTGTTATAACTTTTGCTCACCTTGTGCCTGATCTCCTGTCTTATCTTCTCTCTCTCCTCCACCATCTTGCGATGTTTCGCTTTGCGCTTCCCCTCCGATCCTTCCCCGATGGCGTGCTGCCGCTTATATTCAAAGTGTTATTTCTACTGCTCACCTTATTCCTAATCTCCTGTCTCATCTTCTCTCTCTCTCCTATTCCTTCTTGCGGTGTTTCTCTTTGCACATCTCTTCTGCCTCGTGTATAGCCTCCTGCGATTCACGTTCAAAGTGCTATATCAAAGATTACCTTGTCCCTGATCTCCTGTCTCATCTTCTCTCTCTCCTCCTCCATCTTGCGATGTTTCTCCTTGCGCCTATCCTCTGCTTCGCGGATGGCCTCCTGCCGCTCGCGTTCGGCTTCTTCTTCCTTCTCCTTATCATCGCTGTCATCACCATCACCACCAACCGCCCCTGTTAATAAAACATCACAATTAGTGTGATGAAATCTATATCCATAGTTCCTGACCATGGATGATCCTTTGTTGCCTAGCAATAAATAGTTTATAATTTTCCTATTTTTTAATGTCAATTGTGTACTAATTATTAAAGGATTCGATTCCGCAAGATTCCATCTTTTTATTTTCCAATATTCTGGCGACCGTGACATTAAAATATAAATAGCGATAAAATAAAAGACAATGGAGTCTCTTAAGCGGAAAAGAACACAGTTGAGAAGAGAATTCACAATATGCGCTGACGAACTAGACCATTTTGACGAAGTTCAGAACTATGAGGATTTCGAAGAATCCTTTATGATATTAGCTGAAACTTCCGAAAAACTATTTGAAGTAGAAAGCGCTTTACGAGATTTGTGGTGTTCATCAGAACCATTTGATCAAGAGGCGTTCGAGGCAGATCAGGAGAAAGCAATGGCCTACCGCAAAAAATGGTTCCGACTACAAGCGAAACACAGAAGGATCTCGTCAAAAATGAGCCAAAGTAAGAGTGAACCGTCGTTGTGTTCCGCGGAGTCTGTAGTGGCAGCAAGTTGCGACAACAGGAATAGCAAGAGCCAACAACGACTTCACATGCCGAAACTTGAGCTCATGAAGTTTGATGGCAACATCAAAAATTGGTTACTGTGGTGGGGACAATTTCAAAAGATACATGACGATGGTGAGTTAGACAACATTGATAAATTTCAGTATCTACTCCAGTCAATGGCTCCAGAAACTAACGCTCGTCAACTTGTCGAGAGTTACCCGCCCAGCGGTGACAACTATTTAAAAGCCCTGGATGCTTTAAAAGCTCGATTTGCGAGAGAGGATATTCTTATTGAAACTTATGTCCGAGGCATTTTGAACCAAGTACTGTTACGAAATAAAGGAGAACACCACTCGATCAATTTGTTATATGACAACTTGCACAGTCATCTTCAAGCGTTAGAGACCTTAGGGGTTGCCAATGACAAATATGCTTCTATACTATACCCTATGATCGAGTCAGCATTGCCCGAAGAAATTTTAAGGACCTGGAACAGAATCCGTTACAGGAGCGAGATAAAAGGAGATGATCTGACAAAACTTATGCAATTCCTGAAAGATGAAGTTGAGTCAGAAGAAAGGATACAGTTGGCTCGTTCCGGTTTTGAAACAAGTTCCAACCCTCCTACTGCATGTTTCGTAACGGAAGGAAGGTCTGAAAAGGGCGATGGGAAAGTCAAACAGGATATAAAAAAGAATGCATGCATATGGTGTGAAAAGAATACTCATTCAAGTTTGGAATGTTACAAGGCGGCGAAAATGACTCTCACAGAACGTAAAGATTTATTAAAGAGTAGAAGAGCCTGCATGATTTGTTTAAAAGTTGGTCACATGGCAAAAAGATGTCGAAGTTTTCCGAAGTGCCTTGTCTGCAAGAAAAAACACGTCACACTGATGTGTCAAGATTTAGAGAAAGGGACAGGTAGCGAGAAACAGAATGACGAAAATGACCAAAAATCAGGACACATGTTATGTCAGCTTAAGGCTACCACCATTTTACAAACTTTAGCTGTCAAGGTAGTAAATGGAAGCAGGGAAGCATGTGTCAGAGTTTTAATCGATACCGGTGCACAGAGGTCGTATGTCACAAAGGAATTAGTCGAGTGTCTGCAACTGCAACCAGTAAGTAAGGAGGCTATAAGTCACTGTTTGTTCGGTGGCTACGAAACGAAAAAGGATGAATGTTATGTATATAATATTTCTGTACATAGTTACTTTAGCAATTTTGTGCTTAATATGTCCGTATTACAACAAGATAACATTTGTGGTCTATTACCTAAGGTTAAAACTGATTCTATATTACATAAGTTATTAGAAAAGGGTATAACATTGACCGAGACTGCTGACACACCTGACTGTATTTCTTTACTAATTGGTGCGGACTATTGCGGTGCATTGTTGACGGGGGACTTGGTGCGAATTAATGATTCGTTAACTGCTATCAGAACAAAAATGGGGTGGACTATACAAGGACAAATGACTGGAGTTTATAGTACACAAGTGAAATTGACAACCCTTCATTCCTTAACAAAATTAGACTTGAAAGACCTATGGAGCTTAGAGATTTTAGGTATTAATGATCCCGTTCAACAGGTTTCACGTAAAGCGAGAGATACGGAGTTTCTACAGCAGTTTAATGACAGCCTACGTGTTAATGAAGAAAATAGGTACGAAGTGAGACTTCAGTGGAAAGAGAATATGCCTCGTCCATTATGTAACTATGTTGCAGCTAGGAATCGACTTCTATCAACGAGTGCGCGACTGAAATCTTTAGGTAAGTCTTCTGAATATGATTCAATTTTTAGGGAATGGCAAAGTCTCAACTTTATTGAAGTATCTCCAGGTCAAGATATTGTTAAGGGTTTTTTCTTACCTCATCACCCAGTCATAAAAGCGACCAGCTTAACTACAAAAATCAGGCCAGTTTTTGATGCATCAGCTAAAGACTGTAATGGCGTGTCGCTAAACTCTGGTCTAGAAAAGGGCATAAATTTAATTGAGCTTCTGCCTGGGTTACTTTTAGGGTTCAGAAAGTATGCTATCGGAGTAACGGCTGACGTAGCGAAAGCTTTTCTACAAATTTCTGTTTCGCCAGAAGATCGACATTTCCTTAAATTTCTCTGGTGGGCTGATTATAACGATCAGAGCAAGGGCACGGTAGTTTATCAGCATAGACGAGTTGTTTTCGGATTGACATCGAGTCCATTTCATCTCGCTGCAACTATTTTATATCATCTTAATAATTGCCCCGATTATTTGAAGGATACAGCAGAGAAGTTAAAAGGGTCTTTTTATGTCGATAATTGCGTGATTAGTTTCAATACATCTGAAGAAATGGTTAAATTCATAAAAGAGGCTAAAGAAGTAATGAGACTAGGCATGTTCGATCTCAGGTGCTGGGTTACGGCGCCTATTAGAGTAGATGAGCAAGCGACTACAATATCTGTCTTGGGTATGATGTGGGATACAATTAATGATAAACTTTTTGCTAACGTCTCTTCTATTTCTACGATAGACGTTAAACTGACAAAAAGAAGTCTTTTGTCGTTGACACACAAAATTTTTGACCCACTTGGTTTGTATGCGCCGATCACAATTATTCCAAAAATGATCTTACAGAAGTCATGGTCTCATAACCTTTCTTGGGATTCTGAACTACCAGTAGATTTAGCTAAAGAATTTCAAAGGTGGGCCAAATACATACACCTCATACCTAATATAAAGATACCTAGAAGGTTAACGATATTTGATATAGAAATCGCTAATAATTCTTTTCATATATTCTGTGATGCAAGCCAACATGCCTATGCAGCCTGTGTGTTTCTGAAAACAGAGTACAAAGGCGAAGTTGACATTAATCTTGTAATGGCAAAATCACGTGTAACACCAGTTAAAAAAATAACGATACCGCGTCTTGAGCTTATCGCGGCAACGTTGGCAATAAGACTAGCTCAAACTGTAATAGAGTCACTCAAATTACCAACATATAATATTTACTACTGGACTGACTCGAGTGTTACACTAAGTTGGATAAAAGGCGAAGGAGAGTGGAACACATTCGTTGCAAACAGAGTTAAGGAGATCAGAAAATACTCTTCGCCTGATGCATGGTTTCACATCCCCGGCAACGTCAATCCAGCCGACTTACCGTCAAGAGGAACCGATGCTAAAACTTTAATGGAAAGTGCATGGTGGAAAGGTCCTACTTGGCTAATGTTAGATTCTGAAAAATGGCCGACAGTTAATTTTAATATAGATTATCAAGCCTTTCATGAAAAGAAAAAGAGTTCTGTAATAATGAACAATGTTTGTGTAAATAGTGACTTACTTACTAGATTAAGTTCATATTTTTCATCATATATTAAAATAGTCAGAATGATAGCATGGATTTTCAGATTCTGTTATAAGAATAATCGAGGTCAATCGGAATTAGGGTATGAAGAAATAGAAATCGCTGAGATTCGTTTGATTAAGTTAATACAATGCTCCTATCAAAAACGTATCAGTTCTTTTAAGGTGTTTGAAGATGACAATGGCGTGCTGCGCCTAGAAACAAAATTACAATTTAGTAATGAGCCGTTTGAATTCAAGTCACCCATTATATTGTTCGCAGACGAGATTCTAGTGAAACGACTAGTGGAGGAACGACATAGAACGCTACAGCATGCGGGTGCGTCAACATTGATATCGAATCTTAGAGAACGATATTGGATTGTCGGTATTAGGAAACTAGTTAAAAGAGTAATTAGAGATTGCATTATTTGCAAGCGTTTTAAAGCCAGCTCGTACGTTACTCCTGCAGCTAGTCTTCCTAAAGGACGCGTAGAAGGCAACGTCCCCTTTGAAGTCTCGGGAGTTGATTTAACGGGTCCCTTGTTACTTAAATCTGGTAATAAATGTTGGTTGGTTCTTTTTACATGTGCCACATATCGTGCCATACACCTGGATATCGTTGAATCGCTCTCAACAAATGACTTTATTCTTGCTTTACGACGGTTTATCGCTCGCAGGGGAAGAGTGAAAATAATGTATAGCGACAATGGGACGAATTTTCGTGGACTCGACAATCTACTGAAATCTCTCGACTGGAACAGTATTTTGAGTTTCTCGTCAGTAGTAAAAATCAAATGGATATTTATACCTCCCGGTTCTCCCTGGTGGGGAGGATTCTATGAGAGGTTAATAGGTTTAGTGAAACAAATTTTGAGAAGAATGCTAGGGAAGGCATCTCTGTCTCTCGTGGAGCTGCAGACAGTTCTCTGCGATTGTGAGGCTGTGTTAAATAGTCGACCATTAACATACATTTCAACTGATCCAAATGAGTTAAAACCGTTGACCCCAGCATGTTTCATTCAGCCGTTAGCTGAATCGTCAGTGCCTGAGTTGGACGCAGTTGATAGAAATTCACTTAATTTACGAATGAGGTATTGCCAGAAACTTCGTGATGACTTTCGCCAACGATTCCGAAGTGAGTATTTAGGTATGTTGATTCAGCGGACGAAAGGTGGTTCAGATTCTCTTCAACCTCGTGTAGGAGACGTAGCCTTACTAGAGACGGATGAGAAGCGAATTAAGTGGCCCTTATGTA